GACTGGGAGGTGTCTGGAATTAGCAGCGGAAGGTAGGGATTAGATTTGAAAAAAACTGCAGTAACTGATATGTTTGGTCTGTCTGAGTTTGAGGGTTATGCAAGATCCCTGAGTCCAACCTGGGATAGTCTGATTAATTAACTGTGCAAATACTCCGAAGTATCTCATTTCGGGCCAATAACTTTCCATCATACACAAAGACTCAGATGCACACATACTGTATATTAAGAATTTATGTTCACTGTACTGTTCCACAGGTTAATGCACCTTCATGCCAAGGACTTTCACCGTGGACCGTTCCAATTTGCAAAAGTAAAAAAATGTCAGAACTTATTTTCTGAGAGAACGAGTGAGGGGGCTTCTGTAGCAACCAGGTTTTTTGGAGCCGTTAGATGTTGTAAGTAGTGACTGGGCTTTGTGGGTTTTATGAAAAAAAAAATGACTATGAATTTTGATATTGTGTGATTATGTTTGAACAATAGCATCGAGTATTGATATTTATAACACTTTTTTTTGTTATGAGGTAACAATGCAACGATATAGTTTACAGTGCTCAAGATTTGTCTTTTTTATGCATTTTCTTTAGTATCTTTACATTAATGCAAATGTGAGTGCTTTTGGGAATACATAGGGCTGGGTGTATTGAACGGGCACCAGTATTGTAAATAAGGTTAGACTTAAAACGGGACTGGGAACCAAACAGTAATAACAATTGAATAATAGTTTCAGTATCAATTAATATCTGAACAAAGAAGACAACTACTTTATATGCACTTTTTCTGACTGTGCATCTCTCGCAGCAGGAAGTTGTAATTTAGTCCATGGCATGTAGTGATGCAGTGATAGTCTGAGCTGGCGTGAGGCCTGGATAAACGTGCTGGGCAACTCCGCAGCGGCGCTGTGCTACGGCACTCGCTGGCAGGTGTGGTTCAAGGAGTGATGTTTTTAGAAGAGTGGTTTTGACTTCGTACAGAATGTGTGACATCAGCAGAGCTCGGGCAGGTCCAGGCAGAAATAGTACAGTCATACCAGAGACGATGATTTCTCACAGAGCATCGCAGGAAGTCGGCTCCTTCCTGTGTGTAGGTTCAAATGTATTTGAGGTACTCTCAGGAAATGCAGGTTGGAGTAAATATAGCAAAAATGAGGCATTCTACTGCATTGACTAGACAAGGTGGCCGATGAGAATTTAGTTTCCCATATAGAATAAGATAAACTAATTTGTTTTGAATCAAAATTGGGTCCTATATTCATATCAGAAAAAAATTATTTTGGTATGGGCTGATGAGAAAACTCATAATGTCCGAGTAGTCAATGTCTGTACCAACTAGGATTGTGTGATAAATAATAACAGTCACATTACTAAATACTATACTATATTGATTGGTTCTTGTTTGTAGACATGAGATTTTTGTTTGTATTCATTAATACAGATACATTACTTGTAAAACCACAACACTACAATCACTGAGAGAAACTCATTATTCAATAAAGAGTGATATACTTTCATCCAAACACAAGGATTCTTTTTGACCCTGGCAGTTGTGACAATGGAGCATGCACATGGGGCTTCTGCACGCTTTCACTATCAGTGCATGACGCTGCAGACTGACTAATGCACTGTATCATGGATTAAACATCTGCCTTTCAAACCCATTACAGATTCCAGAGTGATTTACTGTACAAATGGATTGAATGAACGTTGACTGAGTTGAAAGTAATCATTAAAGCGGTTGATTGTGAGTGGGCACACTTCAAATACAAATATTGCATTGACCTACATAGCACACTTTGCTTTGCTCATTTACTAGAAAGTGTGAAAGTAGCATCTCCACAGCTGACTGAAGTGTGTGTGTACCTTATACCGCAACTATGGTTCGTGAATATGTAGCCGTGTGTTTGGCCATCAGGTGGATGTGCTACGGTGATAACTAGTTCACACCCACAAAATACAACCCATCGGGCAACTTTTGAAACTAATCTTTTCATTCAGAAGCTTGTTAACATCCATTTTGGCATTTCGAGCTAGACAAACTAGTCTCCTTCACAGCAAGCGAGTAGGCAACAAGCAAAACACAAACCAAGTATTAGGGCCAAAGGACTCCAGGAACGCCGTGGTAGTCCTCTGAACTTATCACAGCAGGACACAAAAGTTTTCTTCTGACTTTAATAAAGGGAAACTGTCAGAAAATACTAGTGGTTATATGATGTAGAATTCTACACGTGTCGCATGAGAAACATACTGTTAATACAATAAATTGCACCCAAAGAAATACAGCAAATACAGCAAAACAGTGAGGCGAGGTGAACCTGCACATATTATCTAGTAGAAAGGAATTCCCAAATACAACTCCAGACTAATAAACACATTCTTCTTCAAACTGTACCATGTGATCTCTCTGTTCAACAGCTCAGTCCGACTGTGGTGGTCTGCTTGTATTTACCATCGGCAATAAAATGCAGCCCAGTGTTACAAAAGGGCCTCTGTTAGATTTATACCTCAGTCCTCCATGACCCATGCTCTCGCAGCTCTGAACACCTACATGCACAGTCCTAGGTCCAGCAGAAAGATTTGCCAGGCCACACAGAGCCCTTGTGTGTACAGGCTAAATACGCATCACATTTTCATCAGTTCATATCAGTCATATCATCAATAAGTGACCATGGGTTGTTTTTTGTTTGTTTTTCAGGTTGAGATCTGAGATAATTTTTCCTTTTTAATGGCAGATTGTAAAAAGGCCAGTATTCTTTATGAAGGCTACAAATAAAACCCGAACACGGGCTAAGACACTGTTTATAAATTAGGACAATTTTCAAGGGGTTCTGTTAATTCCTTTATGGATGGGAATAGGTTTATTTTAAAGAAGAGAAAGAGAGGAGACCTGGAAAAATATTCAGTATTTTATTTATGGAAGGTAGGTTGGTTGATAACTCATATTTTGTATGTAAGGTTACATTTGTGTATCTACGTTTTCACACAATTCAAAGCATTTTGAACAATTGATTACTTTTATTGTAATTAGGTAGCAGGGCTCGACATTAACGGCTGTCCGCTTGCACGGGGGCAACTAAAGATTTGGGGCAGAGAAGTGCGCTGTCTTAGCAAGTTGACAGAGCTAAAAATTCCCACATTTCTACCTCTAGAGCCAGGAGCGGACATGTCTGTTTATCTTTTTGTTACCACTTCTCTTCATTGGTCAATTCTCTGGACAAATTAAATGCGCATCAGGATAAACCAGGGAAGAGCATTTCCTGCTGTTCAGTGATATCCAACTTTTTCCCACTGAAAATGTCATTTCTGTGAAACGTGTAACCGCAGGAACTTTCTGCTGTTTGCTCTTCGTACTCGAACAGGATTCACATCCTCCATTCTGACCCAGAACCATAGACGAGTGTTCAGGACCATCCCCGGCTTGTTGCAAGTGCAGGTCTCCCCCATGTCTCCTCCGTGTCTCCTCCTCTTGTTTTTTATTTTGCATACTTAAGAGCCCCTTGAGTCATTATTTGACAAAGCTTAATGTCAAGGCCTGGGTAGGTCGGCTTTTTCTGAACAAAACTGCTCGAAAGGAAAAGATGGCCGACTACGATGAATAGAGCTCCAAGAAAGTTTTCTGATTTAAAAAAATAAAAAACAGCCTTTTTCCTCAACATTAAAAGTAAAAATTACGTTAATATTTTTACTATACTTTTGTGGACAAAAATAACTAATTTATTTGTGCAGTTTATTGGCATTTCCAGCCCATCGAGTTGTCAACAAGCAGCTTCCCTCAAAACAACGCTGTGATTACGCAGACCAATTTAAATTTATAACCTGTGTTTGCTGTTGGCGCAGGCCTTTGTTCCAGCGGAAGGACCGGTTTCACTGACGAACGCTGACACTTGGGTGGCAACAGCACAGAGGCCGAGAGGCATCACACACACATCACCCATGCCAACACAACCATATGGCAAGACCCACAACAGCTTACAATTATTATTTGAATGGCTGGGACGTCTAAAAGTGAAGTTGCAACGGTTCAGTCGGGTTGCGTTCATGTCATAACATTAATTGTACAGCCTATGGTTTGAAATGGGTAACTATGGTAAATGTCAAAGCTATATTCTTATAATCTCTGGGCAAATCCACATGAAACAAAAACTGTCACAAAGTTCCACATCTTCCAGTAGAAAGGACTTTCATAAGAACGACATGGCAGCTTTTTGAATCTAATCACTATCAAATGATGATCTGGGAAAATATCTTTTTCTTTACAAATTGGTTCCTTTCCCATCGAGTTGTACCAGTCCTCCAACTGAAATAGAACTCTCCAACACTAATGCAGCCAAAAGAAGTCCTACATCTAACCTCAAAATAAAATTATTTCCTGTGAATATATCTGTAAAGTGCATGACTATGACAGGTGTAATGATCTATGATTACTGCCGATCGCTTTGACACCAAGACATGTAATAAATGAATGATGGGGACGGGCCGAGACTGAATGTCTAAGAGACAAGATGAAACACAAGATTAGGAGCAGAGTTCAGACATTGGACAAAGGCTGTGATGTTCATCTCCAGAAACAACTTATGATTTGTATCTTTGCAGTCATTGTGCAAAATGTTTTCCTTGTGTGATTCTTCCATTGGTTCATCGTAAATGTAGCAAAGAAGAGATCCTATTCCACTAGTCGTTGTTGTGACAGCAATGCAAAAAATCTAATCTGATGTAATAATTGCTTGAATCTAGGGGTTTTATCTTATTTTGAGTACATTGTAAAATTCTACAATCTGTCTTAAAACAAGATTTGCCAATGCGACAAAGCCATTTAGTCTCATTTCAAGAACTGTTCCTTTATTTTCTCATTCCAAGGGAGATATTTCTTTCTAAAACAAGATAATCTTGCATGTCTCATTTGCAAATCTTGTTTTAAGGTTGTCACAGTGTGCTCAAATGTATTAATTTTGCCAAATTTGAGACTTTTTTCACTTATCGTACATTACTTTTTGCAGTGTTTTACCTGTACAGTCTTCTTGATCCGGTGCGAAGGCCCTGGGTACTCCGGTGAGTACAGGTCTGTGAGGAAGAGTGAGTTGATGAGCGTGGACTTTCCCAGGCCGGACTCTCCTAGAACACACAGAGACACAACACATGAGCCTTTTAGTTTGATCATTAGATGGCTGCATCTTGTTTTCAAGTCTGCCTTTGCATGCATTGTCAACTTTGATCTACCCATTGTATACTGATGGGACAGGAAGCTGAAAACCGAGTCTGTGCTTTTTACTTGAGTTATTGAACAGTCTATGAGAAATCCAGCTGAATCCACTATCTTTTCTTTGTTTGATTTGAGCTGGTGCAGGACCAAGTTCTCAGAGTTGGCCTAATGGTGGTCTTTTTAGTCAGACAGTGAGTGAAGGGGCTTCCAAAGACTGTCAGTGGGTCATGTCATGTCAGAGTGGACGTTGTTTATATGGAATTATCAGCTATGTTGAAAATGGCACTTTATATATCTTAATTTATTATTTGAACACTACAAGAGTTGTGTGGTTCGATATGTTTTTTGTTTTTTTTTAACCATTACCCAGCCCTCATTCTTCAGAGCTTTCCAGTTTTATAATACCTTGTAAGTTTAAATTAAATTGTAACCTTCGGTCTGATAATGTACCCATCTGCTTTAGAACATCTGGCTCAGGACTAGAGATGAAAATTAGCACTCCTTCTACAACCTGGTTAATGTATCTCTTTATCTTTCTTTTGGCTATTGTGTATAGTACACTGTCCCCGTAAAGATAAAACCCATACACCACCGCCACCGCTACCACTACTACTAACACTTTTTATTCCTTCTCTGCTCTGTTTTTTTGTTGTTGCATTGATTCACAAAAACAATTACATGGCACCAAAGGGGGAAATTGAGCAGAACTGGTATAAAATCTCACAGCACTATAAAAAGTGACTCCTGCAATGTGGGACCTTAGAGTTCATTGTCCATGACAGAACATATTGCATCAAACAGAGTGTAGAGTCGTGACAGCGCTCCGGCAGACTGAGGTGCAACAAGACACAATCTCCAGATGTTTCTAAGCCTCACAGACGACGCTTTTAACACATTACATTTTATTTATTTATTTGTTTATTTGAGCAGACAAGTACGGCTCAAAAGGAGTGGGCCGAAGCAAGAGCTTATTGGTGCCCACCCCCAAAACACTACATTAACAAAAACACATTTAAACATTTTACCTAGAACAGCAACTATGTAAAAAGTATTAAAAAAACAAGAAAAGAACAGACAATAACAGGTCTTCAAACATCACTCTTCAAGGTCAACAATGATCCTAATGAAGACAATAACAATAATAAACAACAAAACAAAGTAAATAAAAAAACAAAAACAGACAAATTTACATGTCTGAATGCTAACCATTCTTCACATGGTAAGCATTCAGACCTTCTCTGGACAGGAAACGGTTGTCCTGAAAGTCTGCGTTTAAAAAAGGGGGAAGTCAAGCTTTAACACTAGGAAAAGGAAGAGGCAGACACAACTCTTTTCCTGTCTGCATTTCAGGAATCTAATCAGAGAATTGGGGAATAGGAGGAGGAAGCAACAGGCCAGCACTAATCAGCACAAATTCCTCTTGAAAAACAAGGAAATCAAAATCCCAAGATTTTCATTTCCCTGTTATTCATTCAAAATCCAAGATTTTGATTTTGACCAGTCAGTGAAATTACAGAAGAACAAAATGCAATGACAACCTCATATTAAAGCCATAAGAGTGATATCTAAAAAGTCCATACCTAAATGTAATTAAACACGGAGCCAGATGGTTCTTCATTGCTCAGATATTATACCATTTAAAAACGTCTTCCCCTCCACAGCTTCCATTTCACATTACGTACATTACCTCAATTTAGCAGATTCTCCCACTGATCAAAATATGTATGTAAATATGGCCATGATTAAAATTTGATTTGTGGAAACGATGCTGGAATCTGGAAATTACATAAGTAAGTAAGTTTTTATTTATATACCGCCTTTTCACTGCAGATCTGAGTCTCAAAGCGGTTTACAATTGTTAATTTTGGGCATTTGTCTCTCACTCCACACAGAGATGGGAGCGGGGCCAGTACAGGAGGCACATGCCAGAACTATTAGACATATTTTTAGTGGTAGGGGAAACCGGAGTACCCGGAGGAAACCTACGCAGACACGGGGAGAACATGCAAACTCCACTCAGAAAGGCCCTGGTCCGGCCGGGATTCGAACCCAGGACCTTCTTGCTGAGAGGCGAGAGTGCTATCCACTCAGCCACCGTGCCGCTGATTCATGCATGATTTCAACATGCATGAACCAACTTGAAAACAACATGAGCGAGTGAATGAGAAGAGGAAGCATTTATAGCAGGCTCTTAAACGTAGATCTGCCGCATGTGACATTCAGCTATATCTCACTGACGAGCAGCTCCTTCAGAGGTGGCCTCAGTGGAGATGGTTAGGCGAGGCCTGTGTGTGATCCTAAAAGGTGAACGAGAGCAAGAGGCAGCTGCTTGACAAAAGCCCCAGTGTCAGAGAGGAGAGGCGTTCAGAACGGCCTGGCACCGCTGCCAAAATTCTGCTCCTGACCTTTCCCAGAGGCTGAGCTGTGTCCGAGCCGGGCGGGCACACAGACACTCATCGCCTGGGAAGAGCACGGCCACATGAAGCACAGGCTGCACAAAGCCTTTACTGTCCACATCACCAATGTTTTCCAAGAGGAAAGAGATGCATTTATCTTGTGATGAGCGTTTGAGAAATGGCTTAGCGATTATAGATGGTCTGTGATGAAACAGCAACATTACTCAAGGTTCAGGGCTGAGGAGATCACTTATTCAGTCAAGCCGATAACTACCAAGTACTCTGAGAGAACTGTCAGGAGCAGTGGTGAAGCGCCCGGGAACATCTCCAGATGTTGATGCTCAGCTCGATCAGAACTACTAGAGATGGAGATTACATATTGTACATGTTTTAGTTGTAGGGAAAACCGGAGCACACCAAGGAAACCTATGCAGAAACAGGGAGAACATGCAAAATGTTTACACAGGGATCCCAACCCAGGAACTTATTGATGAAGTGAAGTGCTAATCACTCAGCCACCACTTGTATGGAATGTTCTACAGTGTGGTATTTAACTCTACTATATTCCATTTATTCAATAGAAGTTTTTAATTTGAGGCAAATACAAATTCCCTGGCTCACTAAAACTACATAAATCATCTTTAATCACCGCACATCCATCATTGATCCTGCCTTGTGAAAAAAATTAAGTATACACTTCATTTTTAACAACGAACCAGCACAAAGCAAGGTTTGAAAGTCAATCTTTTCAGTGTGGCGTTTGGGAGTGACTTGCTCAGACTGGCGACAGGCCCAGGACCAGAATCTTGGCTGGGGGAGTGTTTCAGAACTCTACCTTCATTTTCCACAGCCCTCATACTTTCAGCTGTGGAGGAGCAGGTCGGTCACTTTCGACTTGTGGACATTTTACAGCCCCTGGGACCAGCCAACTGCATAAAAGCCCATTGAGCTGAGCATCTCTTGCCGTTATGGAGGAGGGCCGTCAGCTCGTAGCTCGGATTGCTTAGCAGCCAGCACACTTCCTTTAAAGGAAATTTCCAGCAGCTGTGTAAACCACGGGCTTTATTCGACGCCACTTCCCATTGCAGCAGAAAGGCAGAAGCGAGAGGAGGGAAAGTTTGGTTTGAAATCGTTACACTATAATGCTCATTCATTTTATGGAGTTTGGAAACTCTCAGACTCAAATAGTAATCTCATTTAAAACAATACTTTTCCAATCGAGACTTGAATGAAACCCAAATCATAAAACTAGAGGCAGTCTTTTCCAGGACAAAGTGGCAAAGCAAACAAGGGAGGATGATTTGGACTAAAACACTCAAACAATCATTAACTACAACCCAAATTGAAACCAAATATTTTACAAATACAAGCATGACATGGACGACATTAACACATTTTGTCATTGGAATAGATGGTTGTTTGATCTTTGATAAATTAGGTCATTAGTCATTGTTCATTTGTGGTCAAAATTCAGTTTAATTTTAAAATGTATTATTTTATCAAAACATGGGTAATCAGTTGAATAACCGCCCATAGTCAAGCTAAGTGACAAAATAGAATGCACAAATCTGCTCTGGGTGAACCTTCCCTGAAGTTTCACAAGCCTAGAGCATAACTCAAGTGTGACATATACAATTGGCACACCATACATTACCCTGAGCCCACTGCTGTGAGATTGCCCCGTCTAAAAGCCCAGTGTATTTACATGGGACATTCTTTCTTTGTAAAACGCACATTGGACTGTCCGCCAGCACAAAGAGCTCGGGCTGCAGGGGCAAACATCAAGGTCACTGCTGCCTGTGTGGAAATCACTCCCAAATATTGACTTTACGACCAGGACGCATGGCCTGCTTTCACCGACGTGCCAAGGGAACGCACCAAACCAGGGCTAATGAGAGTGCACACAGAGTCTTGATAAAAACCACCACACACTAATCTTGACAGATTGACCACACTCTGCCCACCAAAACAGGACGTAAACTGTTAGAATGAGGCGTTTCCTGAGGTTATTACCACGGTTTATGTTAATTTGCTTCACAACAGATTTGCAATGTACGATGAACAATAAACAAAGTTTATTTTGGCTGTAACACTTAGGAAAAAAAGTTCAATGTTTTCATTCATTGGCCGAAATATGTACAAAACATTTTTGTAATAAAAAAAGGACATTAGTAAATAAGCAAATTTAGTTTTTTAAATGTATTGTGTTATTTATGCTGAAACCAACACCTGGCTCATTCACACACATGTGTTCACATGTACACACTGATGCACAGACTGATAACCCGAACCCTAGATTGTAAAATAACAGATTATGCAAGTTCCACAAAACATCATTACGTGATCATCATTTTTGTTTATCATCAAGACCAATTAGGCATGGAAACATCATTTGTTGAGCACAGTTTGATGCACAGCTTTGGCAGATCCACTGTTGCTGTCTGGCAGGGAACATTATCTTTCTGTCTGAATCCAACTGTGATATTATTGTATTAACAGGATTTGAATTTCCTGAGTATGCAGTGACAAGTACCATCTGGTTATTTGAGCCAAATCATCAGAACAAAATTTGGTCTGAGGGACACATTTAGCTGCTGAGCCATAGTTTGAATTAAATTAAATTACCATTTTACTTTACTGTCTCTCACTCACCAATAAAACACAGTCTGAGTTTTTTAAACTGTTTGCAGGTCAAATACATGTCTCCAAATTCCATGACATCTCATAAATTCCTGCAGTGGTGGGTCCCTCGCGGGCCAGAGCTCTGACCCCTCCCATCCCGTCTCCAGATGAAGGCGTAGAGCTCCACACTATCTCCTGCTATGACAACACTGGCCCGTCCAATTATCCTCTCCTCTAATTACACCCTGCACATGGAACTGCCACATAACAGCCCCTTTCCTGTGAGTGCTCTCAGCGGGGGGAACTCCAGGGCGGGCACACATGCAGCCGGAGGGGAGCGGGCGCAACCTGTCGCTATGGAGACGGTTGGAGAAATGTGACAGCAGCAACAACGAGTACTGGACTCAGCCCCGACAAGGAGCTGTTCACTGAGCAGGATGCACCTAGTGGCATATGTTCTGGCGTTGATAGATGAAACTAAGAGACCACCTTGTTCATGAGACGGGAACAATAAATATCCTTTAAGTGTTTAGTTTTTGAGCGCATGAATCGACAACTTTGTAAAGTCCTGTTAACTGATGGAAGTTAATAGCTTTATGGAAAAATAACACAATTTATTATATTTTATGTATTGTTTATTTTGTTTGAGACAGTGCATGTTAATGAACACACCTCTCCGGATTGTAGCCATGGGCTAATTTGCATCAGTCGTCCCACAGTCACACACACACACATACACTTTTGGTGGTAAGGGAAACCAGAGCACCTGGAGGAAATCTACACAGACACAGGGGTAACATGTAAACTCCACTCAGAAAGGCCCTGTTCTGACCAGGATTGACCATGTTATAATATTAATAATTTATTAATTAAACATTAGTTACAATTCTATCCAAAAACATTTGAGTCGTTTTTCAGTTTGATAAACCAATGCCCCTAAGAGAATCTCAAAAGCAAAACTGAGGGTGGGAGGAGTCTATTACACGCAGCACTTACACATAAGCTGAACCAAACGACCCTTCCAGAAATCCGGAGGTGACATAACATTGCATTGAGGTGGCTTTCCTGCTTTAGGCACAGACTGGGGCTGCTCTGGGTGTGCCTGCTCCATCAGCTGCTCACACTTGGCTCTGTGAGAGGACTGACAGGAAACCTCCTCCCTCCGCTTACAGCCACAGAGCTCACTACACTCACATTTGTTTCGTGGACTTTTGAGGCTTTTTCACATGAGCAAGAATCTCAACGGTTTGGCACAGGCCACGTGTCTACTCGATTGTAAGTGGACTTCGAAGGCTCTTAAATATAACTTCTGGAGTTTTCTTACAGTCGTGTTGTGTCAGTGCTAGAGTTGCAAAAGGGCCAGGAAATTTCCAGTACATTTCTGGAAAACATCCCACAAATCAACATGCAAGCTTATTAACCATCTAACTTATCAGCTTGCCATCTTTTAGGTGAATGCGTTTTTTTTTTTGTATTTACAATTTAAACATTTACTTCGAATTTTCCTAAGCTATGTGACTTGGGTGGCATCACTGAAAGCCACCCCCCCAACCCAGAAATGGATTAAGGCGTAGAAAATGGATCCATGGACTCCCACATCATCATCAAAACTGTTTAGTTCACAGGCTCAAATGTGTGTCTTTAATAGTTTTGTGCTTTGGGCTCAAAAGTTGCGTCCGGTCTTCTAGAAATCTTCAGTACATGTGATGGAGAACAGTGTGCACGGATACCAAATAGTGTATTTGGTATCCGTTTATTTTAGTCAAGATTATACTGAAATATATTTTCCTCAACACTAGTGTATTCCATTGAATTTCCATAGAAAGTTTCCATCTTTCAATCAATCATCAGAATGTTGCAACCTACTGACTGCTTTGTGTTTATTTCCGTGCATCCCTAATGCAGATAAAGAAAAAGGACCAAACACTTACCCACTACCATGAGCGTGAACTCAAAGCCCCTCTTGACTGACTTTCTGTAGACTTGGTTGGGGAGGTTTGCGAAGCCCACATAGCCCTCCAGGTTCTTCTGTTGCTGTGAACCAAAAATAAACAGTGCTAAAAATTCATCGCAAGCATCAACACCAGCTCTGGGAAATAACTACTTATTTGTACAGACATCCCTCATTTCTTTTTATTTCCTGAAGGGTTTCAGCTACTCTAATTAATCGAAACCCCTGACGAACAGCACAAACAAGGCTCACTGGGATCTTCAGCTCAGCAGCACACACAAATCAATATCTCAAATTATTGTAATGCTTATGAATAATATAACATCTATATGTACTGTTTATGTCCATTGGCAGCCCCGGCGTTGTCCCAAGGGAGCTAGAAGTTTGTGGATAAACATATATTATTCATTCACAGAGAGCAAAAGGTTCTGAAAAGTGTAAATGCAAAGTGTATTAGCTCCTACTCTGACGCCACAGTCTGGCACTATCGGCACTCGTTATTCAATAGTTGCATTATTTATTGTCTTTTCAATGCTGCTGATAAGCCACTGGACAAAAAGGATCAATGCACAGTATTATTGCCATCATTTAACTCTTGACAAATGCAGACACCTCCCAGCAGATGGAGGCCAAGCTATTGACAAGTGTGATGTCATAACAGAGCCTTTCCAAACCGAATCCTCCATCTTCTCCAATTAAATTTGATGGATAAAGACGCATGTTCACTTGTGTGAGTGTGTTGTGAGCGCCAATTGAGCTCAATCACCCTTGCTGTGTGAAGGAGAGGTTCCGTAGGTCTTTCCTTCCTGCTGCTGTCAGACTGTGCAATGAGAACTGCTGAACCTGTACATGTCATTCATCTGTAAATAGTCAATTCTGTAATCTCAGAATTTCCACAGAATGTTTCTTTATCTACTCATAATCCTGGCTTATATTTATACAACTTATATATACACAGCTAGCTAAGATACATAGTATCCACTTGCACTGCCTCTCAGAATCAACGCTCCTCCCAGACCTGAGGAGCGTGGAAGCATCTCTGCTCTAAATGAAAAACCTGTTTACTGAGAATGCTTTGATAGAACGGTAAAATGTTTTGGGGAAGTTTGGTGGAGCAGTGGAAATGACTCGGCTGAATGAAGGCTTTCCAGAGCGCTGTGAGGACCCGGAGGAGTCGTAAAAGCCAAAATGTGATTTAGTACAATACTCACAGCTGGGCCGGAGAATGGAGCAGGTCAAGGAGAGGAGGCACCAGGCAGGCCAGACGAGGCAGACAGAGATGGGACAAAAGAGAAGAAAATACATGAATGATCAAAGAATTCATATAAAACAAGTTAAAAATCTATTTGTACAGCTAAAGGACCACATTCTGATGTTTCCAAGAAGGTGAAGGGAAAATAAAACAAATAAATCATTAAAGCAAATCTAACATTCTTGAGGTTGTCGATTCCGTAGAAATAAAACCACACAGCTGAACATCCTTGATGTAGATACAAGGGATATCAATGAATTATGGGAGTCATAAAACCTCTGCTCAGCGTGTTTGTCAAATGTAATGTCTCAATACATTTAAAACTAAATCATAGCCAATTACAGACAATACTTCCATGAAAAAGACCAAGAGGAGCCCCATAGTACGAGTCAGGTTTGAGGAGAGGCAAGCCCACTCACAGTGACGGTATATTCTTTGTTTCCGTGTTGTGAAAACCCTGCCAATATACGACTATTAGTTAGGACCATGTACATAACGGGGCTTTACGATACAATAGTTACATTCGACAAAGATTTAATGTGGAAATATACAAAACTTTTAGACTAAATTTGCCAAATGATGTATATTTTGAAATGATTATAGTTTTAATTTAAATAAAACAGTCATACAACATGTTAGAGCACTGACAGCCACATGCATTCCAGTTACAGAAGCGTCCCACTTTTTTACGGCCAGTTTGGAGCAGGATGTAAATTATCTGTGTGTAAAAAGGGACTGTGATTGTTGACTGAACAAAGACAATAGTGTAACAAACATTCTCTGCTAATACTTGTCATTTTTGATTTACAATGACCATGAGTTTTGTGTACGAAGACTCCCGTTAGTCTAGATAGATTTACTGTATGTAGGTAACTTATCTGGTGTATTTCTTCCGTTATATGAATGAGTAAGAATGGACCAAAAGTGAGAAGTTAGTATGCCAGTTATATCGTATAAAGCAAAAGCACAAACATAAGATGGTCAGAGCCAACATCAGTCCAATACATAATTTTAAATGTTATTGACCCAATAGATATCATACGAAACAATGAAACCAGCCAAATTGTATGGATATTATTCAATTTCATTAAGATTTGCAGAAAGGCGCTCTACAAATAAACGTTGATTGGTTGAAGATCAAGAGATCCTTTATTTGTCCCAGAGTGGAGAAATGTCAGTGTTGCATCACCAGTGACATTAGGAATGAAGAGCACACAGCACTAAATAAGTGAGCCACACTAAAATGAAGTTAAATCTCTAACTTCTCTGGCCTCTCTCTCTCTGGCCTCTGCACCTGGAGCTCTCATCACAAGTAGAACCAGAGGAGGACCACAGCGGGAGCATTATTTGCGGCGTGTTTATGGAAGCCGTCACCGTTTCTAATCCTGCTCCTTCACTGGACGCATCCTCCTGCTCTCATTACGGCGCCCTGACAGCAAAGCGCTCCCTCCTTTCCTGTGCCAGACGGACACTCGATGAAACGTAGAGGGCCTCCGGCTGTGTGCAAACATAAGCACATAACGTAGAAGAGGCGGACGGGCTGTTAACGCACACAATTTTGGCCTGCAGTGGGAATGACACTTCGAAAAAAACAGATGCGCCAAAAAGTCCTGCTCAAAGAATGTTTTCTGTCAAAGAATAATACAGCTGGACTCGGACAGCTCCAGTAGAAAATATTACTGCCAGAACTATAGGACAGGTTGGATGGAGGAGCAAGCCTGAAAGCAAGCAGTGCTAAGAGCACATTTATGTGAAAGGATTTCGGGAAGTTTCTTTATCTGCATTTTATAGCATAGTTTTATTTGTCCAAAAAATTGTCTTTTCTGTTTTTAATTTGTTTTATCTCATAACGGAATTGTTTACAAAGTGCAACAGAAATATAATCCAACTTTATAAAGTCCAGTTTCTATAGTTTTGTGTACAAGAATAAACTGTGTTATAAGAACACTGATAGTAAAACAAAGTAAACTCACAGCTACTTGGAAAAGAGATTTTAATATTAGTTATACTCGCTTTCTAGCAAAACATAAGTGCTTTTCTTCTCCTACATGTTTACAAAATGTTAGCAGCATAATCAACTCAATTTCATTAATTGTTTCAAAATTATTTCTTTGAATTGTTTTCCGTTTCTCTTTGTTTGACATGTAAACCATGGGGGGAATAAGTTTGGACACCCTGGAGCACTAACGTAAACAAACATCTTCCTGGAAGAACTATTGTCACATTCCTTAGTGCTGTTCTGACATTTTTCTTCCTCTTCCCTCTCGTGCCTTGACCTCCATTGTTACTATTAACACCTCCATTTCTTGATCACGTTACAAAACAAAGGAGATTGGTATCTGAAAACCATCTTGTTGCCTTCTGAGAACAACATATTGCAAAGTATCAAAGCAAGAGCTTCGAAGGAATCCATGTTTGTACATTGTTGGAATAAATGTCAGATCGGTCAGAGAATGATCAATCTATCTATCATTTAGTTGTATTGCAATTTGTGTACAGGGCACAAGAGCAAATGAGATCCAATAAAAACACAGATCAAAAAGCATAAAAAACAGACCAAAAAGGTAAATACATCCATAATCAACGATTTCATGATTAAAAACTATGCAGCATGAAAGTATTGGGCTTCAAACTTATTAAAAAACAGATTGGAATGAGTTGTATGCACAGCTGAGAAATATACGTCTTTAACCTAGTCTTGAACACTCATAGTTAAAGGTCCGTCTGAAAAAACTTGTCCTGGTGATGATTGTCAAATTTACTCTGCAGGGTGTCCAAGCTTGTACACATTTCCCACAATTTTGGATCAGTCCAATGTTGCAAGAATATATAGTGAAACAATTATCAATGCAATGGCTCTACCCTATCCCTGTGTTACCACCAGAGAAATTACTTTTTCCAAGAAGTGATAATGACCAACTGTGACTGTAAAACTATTTTATGGGCAAGTGTGATGTCATAGTGGTACATTGACATCATACCATTACTGAACTGAGACAGGAGCTTTTACATAGAGGGGCGGAGTTACACATTTTTACCAGAAGTTCCTGATATTGGCGTGGATGGATCTAAAACCAACTCTATTGTTAAAATTACAAAAAGTCGATTTGCATAATGTCTCCTTTGTATCAGTGGATTACAGTAGTAGCAGACAGATGTTGGCTGCTGTTAACTGTGTAGTGGAAACATGTGGTGAAGTGACAGGAAGCCCAGAGTTATGCGGAGGTCCGACCCAGAGGCACGGGACGTAGCATCAGGAGGAACACAACAGGCATTCCCACGACCTCCAACCACCGCACGAATGTCACAAACATCACACACATGGCTGCTCCTCACATGTGGAGGACGTGCAGCTTCACATTGACAAACATCTGCTTAATGGGACAATCCTAAAGGGGACATAATGCGATTCTGTTCTCTATAATATGATCATCTCAGACCCCCGTGGCTCTTTATCAAACATATGGTTATGAAACGCTAAGATATTAAGAGCGAATGTCAAATTGTAGAGCAGGGGTCTCCAACCAGAATGAACGTGCAGCCACTCTGACCCAGACTATTTAAACTGGCAGAACGGCGCTTCAGGGTTTTTTCCAGTAAACGAGAGCGCATTAAAGTTATTTAACGTGTTCTTGTGAGTACTTGTACCCACGAATCAAAGACTGAGGAGTCAGACGGTAAGACCCGCTGGCTCATACGGACTTTATGTGGCGCGATCGGTCGTGTGGGCCTTGTACACGTGCTCCATTCGTTCACGGGTGATTCGTCCAGCCTCCATCCCAGCTTTACGTGTCCAAGCCGGGATGGAGGCGTTGGGAAACCCCACGTAAACTATGTTCACGTGGGGTTTCCCAGCTTCGCATTGGCTCAGAGCATTAAGGGGCACACCGGACCATGCGTAGCCTCGTTTCAATGCAAAGTCAATGAGAGTCTATGTTTTCGACGAGCCTCCTTGGTTTGACCCAGTGCGGGCGGGTCCCAGCTCAAAAGTGGCCAAAACGACGGGTGCTGACATGCTTGCAATACCACCCCGGGCCGATTGGGGTGGACCCGGAATAAGAATTAACCAATGCTAACATATAGCATTGGCAGTAGGGATGTAAAAAACTATGAATTTTCATGACCGACCACCGAGCCTCATTAACCGGTTGAAACCGGTTAACCGCGTAGTTTAAAAACGTCCACGTTCTTTGAAATAACAGCCATTTCGAGCCGCGTACTTTTCATAAGTGCAGCTCTGCGTTCTACTGGATCAGAGTTGAGACAGCGGCGCCCAAACCCGGAACAGCTCCGGCACCTTTGCGCACAGAGAACTGCTTTTTTAATCTTCCCATTCTGCTGTGCTGCGGGTTAATACCAAAACTTTCTAGCAGCAAACGACGGCTCGTTCACATGGTCAGAGCAGCGAGTGACGAGCCGCGTCTCACAGGTCTTCACAAAAGTTTAAATACAAGTGATGTGTGTGGAGCTGATCCCGAGGACCATAAACACAAACATGTTCCATGTGGTTTGACTGGAGCCGCGTATTTGCGCGAATCCTTTGGGCTCCGTGACACAGAGGAGCGCGACAGACCGGTATGTGTGTGTGTATGTGTGTGTGTATGTGTGTATGTATGTATATGTGTGTGTGTGTAAATGTAAGCTCCAATGTAGTTCTGACCCGCGCCAGTGTGCAACTTTGACGGTAACAGAGGGGAGAGATGATGCGTGTGGATGTTACGTATGGAGAGGGGGAAAGTGTGTGTGTGTGTGTGTGTGTGCGCGCGCGTGCGTGCGTGCGTGTGT